CAACACGGTTTTCAACCAAAACAACTCGGGTTTCTAGTCAAAACCCGCCTAACCGAGCGATTAAAAACTTAACAAATCGAGCTGGTATCGATCGACACCCGAACCAAAAATACATTTGGTTAAGTAATCCTCCAATTCCCTCCTCGAGTCTTTTAGCTCTCGCTCGAGTCATAGGTCCAACCGGAACAACTAAGTCCTCCTCGGCTTCAAGCTCTGGTTTAAACTGCACTCCATGATCCATCCCATCCCGGGCTAAAGCATCATGCTGGTCCATGTCTAAGTTCTGCGGTGGATCAACAATTCCTTCTCTCTTCCTCTTATTCATACACGTTATCAGCACGATAGTCTAACCGTCTAAGCACTAAACCCTAGCCACTGAATAAAACAAAAATCTAGTCGTCTGAACACGAAATCCTAACCGTCTATGCACAAAAACCCTAGCCGTTTGTTTCATCTCCGTTTGTTCAATGTCTCCTACTTTCACTACGTTTCTATCGAGATAAGTTGAATTCTCTCATGCTTTATTAATTTATGTTATCGAGTATTGAAGTACTGTTTTATTATCGATCTNGTTTATTGGTTTGATNAAGNATGTTTTACTATTTNTTTCATTANTGACTATTGCTTAANCTGATTTTCACGCTTCATGGTTTTATTTGATTTGCAAANATNGAAACATGTTTTACATACGATTCATCCATGTTTTAATTTCTTTATAGCTTTATTGATTGTCTCAGAATGGTTGTCTAATATGTTAAGCTATAATTGATAGTTGTTACTTTATATGTTACGAAACATAGAGTCCTTTATTGTTCAACTGCAAATGCAATTATGAATAAGACGAAATATTGACCTAAATAAGATGCTCTGTTAATTTAATTTATAAAGTGGAAATCTAATGCATCTTTATGTTTTATAGATTCATGATTATGTCTAGGTCATAATATGATCTGCTTTCACTATAATACATGATTGCTTTATCATTACACGGTTTCTTTTATAGTTTGAATATCATAATTTAATATTTGTTCGTTTGGTTATTTGTTAGTTTGATCGGTCATACCGGAAATTATCAATTTGAAAAAGACGTTTAAACCGTTTGATTAAAGACGTTGTTCCTCCATCATAACTCAGTGCGATAGCATAAGTTCGGAGAGTTCCGTCCGATTACCGATCGAGGTCTCCATTACGATCGAGGTAAGTATCGCCTTGAGCTTTATAGCCATCACATCATGATCATGCTTATGCGTTAGGAAATATGATGCTTTGATAATTGATCATGATTTGTCATGTTTTAATCATAATTGACTTTATAAAGTGGCATGAATAAGTTATTGCATCAATTAAATCGATTATCACAAACTGGTTCTGTCTCTAGAACCGTAATTCTATATGGCATCTGATATGTAATATTTTATTTTATTTATGAAACTTATGAGAAAATATCTACTAGATGCATAAGAGATTGATTTAGAATTTGATAAAGCAAACCTTGTGAGACACATGTTTAATTATGGCTTTGTTGATTCACCGAAATTGAGAATTGCTTTTAAATGATTGTTATGTGTTGGTCTGATTGGTTTAATATTGTGATATCATAGTGCTTTAAGCAAATCGATGCATGCTTTATTATTGAAATAAATACGATAGTAAATTACAATGATCGATATATCTTTTCGTTATTGGTTCATGTTTAATACATTAATTCATGGCACATAATATTCTTATTGGCATTCATACAATACTGTATATATGATCGACTCATGCTTATTAATTTGGCTGATTTATAATTTATGAAGTGNATCNTCTNTTTTGAATAATGATTAATCGATCATGTAATATCANGTTATTAGAGTAAATTTTGAATTAAGTTCNNATGCTTATTGTTGCATATTTATCTATTGGATTTTTATAATAAAATCACATCGAGAT